CCCCCCCCCAGGCTGCTGGGCCCCAGCCAGGGTGGGTAGTAGGTAACTTGAGGCCCCAGACACAACCAACCTCGCCAGCCTTGACCAAATCAGTCTCCACAGGGAGAGTCATTTCAGAGGCTGCACTCCGCAGTTCTGTCCTCTGGTCTGAGTGGCCACCAGGTGGTGGTGCTGGGCTGTGTCCCTGGCCAAAGGCCAGGTGTCCCACGTGGAAGCTGGGGTGGGGGGGACTCCTCTCAGTTCTCATTCCTGGCATCTGAGCCCACTTGCCTCACCTGACACCCTCCTGATGAGCCCTTGCCAGGCCCCTGCCTGGATTTTGGCCCTCCAGGTGCCATACAGTGGCATATATTCATATTATCAACTCATACTTGATAAACTGTCTTCACGGAATTTGCCTATTCCGCCTGTGGTCCGATTCACACATTCCTGTATTCTGAATGCCCGAAGGGTCTGTAGTGACATGCCTGACGTCGTCTCCTCCACCCTGCCCCAGCCTCTGCTAGTCTAGCTGGAGGCTTATTAATTTTACTAATCTTTTCAAAAAAACTACCTTGGGCCCAGCCAGAGTGGCTCAGTGGTCACGAATGTTCTCCAACCCCTTGTCCCTGCCTCTATAACATGGGGATGATTGTCCTGTCCTCAGTGTTGCATGAGGATTGAGGTGATGTATATAAATTACTTGACAGACTAGCACCTGTAGGCTCCTAATAAAGATTCCTCATCTCCTCCGCCCCCCTCCTGCTTTAGACAGACATGGGCTGACAAGTATCTGGTGACAAAGTGAGCTCTGGAGATGCTCAGAGTGTCAGTGGGATGGCGAGTCCGCTCTTCAGTGAGACTGGGAGAGCTGGGGCAGGGAGAGGTGGAGATGGACGTGGGAGCCAGAGCCAGAGCCAGGTGCTGCACAGCGCAGGTCACTTAGGTTCAGGGAAGTCACTTCTCTGAGGTCCCTCTGCAGCTGGACTTCAGGTCCATGTCTTCTCTGCTCCCCGTAGTGTCTCAGGCCCATGTGACCTTGTCCCTGGGAACACATCTCACTTGTTTCTCCCTACGTCTAGCAACTCCCTCTCCGCCTGTCAGCCTCAGCTGCACAGTGGGTGGCAGTCGGCCTGAGACTGAGTGTATCTGGGACTCTCTTGGAGGTACTGACACCAGGTCTCTGTCTCCCGGGGGTCTCAGCCTTCCTGTCCTGAACCCTTCCCCTTGGTTGGTCTTTATATTCTCTGTTGACTCGACTCAGAGAGCACAAGTCCAAGAGGTGGGGAAGCACGCAACTGATGGCGGGTCGAGGGGCTCACATGCAACGGGACCTTCAGAGAAGCACGAAAGAAGATGGACGCCCTAATAGTTGGGACGAGAGGCCATAACATCCAGTTACAGACATGTCCCTGGAAGAGGGACAGGGTCACGGAACTGTGAGTGAAGGCTAGGGAGCACACTGACAGGAGGCTGGCGGCCACAGACTCCACAGCCCCGGGGGCTCTGGCACGAGAGAAAGGGCAGATTCAATACGGTACCGTTTTATTGAGGCCACTGTGTGCCAGGCCTGGGTGAGTGCTGGGGCCCTGGGAAAATCAGGCTGTTCTTGCCTTGCAGGGCCCGCAGTGGTGGGAGACAGTCCAGAAAACACACACAAGGACACTGCAGGGTGGGGCGTGGCAACCACCCCCGGGAAGGCACCAGTCACAGCATGTGCTTTCAACAGACACAAATCAGGGCCCGTTGTATCCTGCAGTGATACCTGGTAGATCAGAAAACAAGACAGGGACCCTATTCTTGGAAGCTCAGGGCATCCTTGGGAAACACGCTGCATTCTGCAAAGCGTGAATACCACATGGTAGGTGAGGAGAGGTAAGTCACAGGCACTCTGCAAGCGAGGAGGGCCACCTGAAGTCAGCCTGAGGAGGCGGGGGATACTGCTGGGGCTGGGGTGGGGGGATGTTTGAAGCATCTTGGAGGAAAGCGGAGAGGAGGATTCCAGGCACAGGTACCAAGGCACAAAGGCAGGAAAAAGTATGGCTTCTTCAAGAATCGCAGGTAGCCCTAGCCAGTTTGGCTCAGTGGTTAGAGCATCGTTCCTGCGGACAAAAGGGTCCCGGGTTCGATTTGGGCCAAGGGCATATACCTCAGTTGCTGTCTTGATTCCTGGCCCTGGTTGTGGCACGTGCAGGAGGCAAGCAATCAATGTGACATCAATGGCTTTCTCTCCCCCTCTCTCCCTTCCACTCTCTCTGAAAAGCAATGGAATAAATATCCTTGGGAGAGGATTTAAAAACAGGGAACTACAAATAGTTCCACGTGGCCACGAATGCTCCTGAATGGCAGGTGCAGGAAGGAATTGAGGTTCATCCCATTTCACATCACTGTGCACAATGAAAGATGACCCTATTCAGGTGCACAAATAAGGTTAACTGGCAAGGTTGTTTAGGGCCCAAAGTGGCTCCCATCTTGGAAAACCTGTGACCTATTCAGGAAGCTTTGCTGTAGAAGGTGATGCATCAGAGAGTTTTCCCCCGTGGAGAACACTCAGGTTCAGGGTGTAGAAAGAGCACCATGGAGGCTGGTGTGCAGAAGGCAGGAAAGGGTGTGGAAGGGCCCCTGCTGGAGTCCACACAAGAAGTGGTGAAGGCTTACGTGAGGTCACGATGGTGGAGAAACGAAGCAGAGTTGAGTTTAGATGAAATGAACAGGGCTGATGGCTGGTGGGACGTGGAAGGAGGGGCAGAGGCACAAGCAAATGACTCCAGGCCAGTGTCAGCAGCACCCTCGGCAAAGACGGGAGGATGAGAGAGACGCAGTGTCTAGAGAAGGCCTCACTGAAGAGGGAGCCTTAGGTGGCCTTGGACTGGACGTAAATAAGTGGAGTGGATAGTTGGTGGAAAGGCACCAGGTGATGTGGGCAGTGTCCTTCCTGGGCTAAATAGGACAGGAACTGGGGCGTGAACCTGGAGGCCCAGCCCAGAGCATCCTGGGACCACTGAGTCCTGACAGAAATGCCCCCCGACTGCCCTAACTCTAAGGACCAACCCAGATCCTCTCTGAGACCGGCCTAGTGGGGATGCAGGACAGCAGGATCCTTCTGGAAGCTGGACAGCTTTCCATTCATCCAAGTTCCCAAATGCAGAGTTGCTCCCAGACAGCCCCAGGTCTGCCCTTAAGAACCACATCATTCTGGAGAAGTTATCGATGCCCCACCCTGTTCTTCCTGGCTCCTTCGGAACTCAGGGTATTTTCTGTGTTGAGCCTGAGGGTGCCTTGGGTGGGTCACTGCAGCACGGAGAGGTGGACTCGCAGGTGTACCAGGAGGGCCGAGCTGCGGCTGAAGGCTTTCCCACAGTCGCTGCACTTGTAGGGCTTCTCCCCCGTGTGGACTCTCTGGTGCTCCATAAGGGAGGAGCTCTGGGCAAAGGCCTTGGGGCAGACCTGGCACCGGTAGGGCTTCTCCCCAGAGTGGATCCTCAGGTGCCGGATCAGAGCCGAGCAGTCGCTGAAGGCTCTTCCGCAGGCGTCACATCTATAGGGCTTCTCCCCAGTATGGGTGCGCAGGTGCTGAGTCAGGTGGGCACTCTGGCTGAAGGCCTTGCCACACGCATCACACGCGTAGGGCCGCTCGCCCGTGTGCACCCGCTGGTGCTGGGTGAGGTGGGTGCTGCGGCTGAAGGTTTTGCCACAGTCCCCACACCTGTAGGGTTTCTCCCCGGTGTGGATGCGCTGGTGCTGCGTCAGATGAGTGACCCGGCTGAAGGCCTTGCCGCACTCCTTACACACGTGGGGCTTTGCCCCTGTGTGCACCACCTGATGTTGGGCCAGGTGAGTGCTACGGCGAAAGGCTTTTCCGCACTCACTGCAGATGTAGGGCGTCTTCCGGCAATGGCTCTTCCTGTGTGCCTCCAGGGCGGGGGAGCTCTGGAACGTGTGCCCACATTCCCCGCACTTGGAGGGCATCCACTCCGAGTGCACGCATGGAGGCTCTGTGCCACAACAGTCCAAAGGATCTAATTTCTCCTTGGGAGGAGTCTTCTCTTGCCAGGTGACGTGTGACCACACACTGGGAATATTCCCAAAGGCACCAGATTCACAGCCAGGCTGGCCCATGGGGGCTTCCTTGTGAGGCCCTGGAGCATTCCTGAAATCTGTCTCTCTGGTGAAGGACTCTGTCCAGACGTCCCCTGAGAGTCCTGCTGGCCTCTCTGAGCTGCCCTGGGGTCGGAAGGCATCACCAAAGGCGTGTCCTGGGGAAACGCCCCCCACGAGGGTTTGGGTGGCTTTGCCTGACTCTTCCGAATCGCTGTGTTTACAGCCTGCCTCTGAGAGCTCAGCTCCCGGCTCCCATCCTGAAATAGCCGGAACCACATTGTCAACCCTCCCCTACACCAGCCTCCCCCACTCTGAACCAGGCTGGCCTCACTCTGTAAGGGGACAATGGGCCCCTCCTGACAAGCGGCCCCATTTGCACAGGGAAGTGTCTCACTTGGTGTCTGGTTGACAAAGGGCACAGGGCTGGTCTCCCACACCATCAAAAGCTGCATCACTTTTGAGAGCATCCGATCCTTTCCCCATTCCCCCAAATTGCATTCTTCAAGGCTCCTGATTTGGACTCAAGTGTCAGAAGGAAAACCCTGAGGTTGAACTGATTTGAAAGAAAGAAAGAGTGAGACAGTGAGCATGGGAGGCGTCTGTCTTCACCATCACTGTGTTTGTGTCCCCGTGGTGGGCCCGAGTGCCCCTAGCTCTCAGCGCCTTGCCTCTGGGCTTGAATGGGTCTGCAAGTGCTGGGGGGATGAAGGATCAATCCTGGATGCCAACGACTGAAATTTCCCGCAGTCAATTCTACCTTAACCCAAGTGGACAGCTGCTGCTGTGGGTGAGAGGGTGGTGCACGTGCCTGGCCTCTCCGAGCCCCGAGGCCTAGTCTTTATATAAAGTGCTGCGCGGGCAGAGCATGGCTAAGGGCAGCTGGAGACTGGGTTGTGTTCATGGTGGAGATGCGCCTGCCCTGACCTATGCTTGATGGGTGCACAGAACATCGGTTCCTGGACAGATCCCAGGAAGGAGGGGGCAAGGAGGGGGCCCCAGCTCTGCTGCTGGCCTGCTCCTGGGCCTGGGGCAATCTTGCCCTTGTCTGGACCTCAGTTTTCTCATCTGTAAGAGAGGAAGAATACACTGCTGGCCATTATGAGGCTCCGAGTGCAGTGGGTAATGTCCATTGTCTCGTTTCAGATTCTATCTTAGTTTCAGACACGGAAACTGAGGCCCAGCTGAGGAAAGATCTTCAGTAACTGGTACAGGATCACATAATTAGCTCAGAGAGATTGAGTAACTTATAAAAGATCACACAGTTAGGCCAAGCTGGGGTTTTGGCTATAGAATCTCATCCTTCAATCCCAGACACCCCCTCAGCTCCCCCAACCCAGCCATTTGCTGGGTCCTGCCTCCCCCTTTCTCCTTTTATTTCAGAAACGTGCCCTTCCCAGAATGTATGGGTCCATATACATGACTGGGCCCTTGCCCCACCACTGCATCTGCCTGGACTACTGGCTTTCTCTCATCCTTTCAGCCGTTTTGCCTTTTCTCTGAAGACTCTGAGCCCTGTGGAAGATGGGGCCACTCCCTCCCTCCTCTCCCTGTCCCTGTGAGCCCTGTGAGATCTGCGTGGGCACAGCCAATGGGGCCAAGGAAGGGCACCTGACCAACATCTGTTTCTCAAGGAGCTGAACGAACTGTCCTGACAGCTACTGTTTCATGTGCTGCAAAAGCATCACCTCAATGACAGCTCTCAAGTGACAGTGAGGTAGGTAGTACGACTACGATCCCCATTTTACTGAGAGGGAAACTGAGGCACAAGAGAGTCACACGGCCAGGAGGAGTCAGAGCAGTGGCTGTGACTACTGGGCTCCAATGATTCTTCTGTGTCCTAATTCCATGTTCGTCCAGCCCAGGTGGGTGCCCAGCACACCCACCCCACCATCCTGGAGGAGCCTTCACTTCCTGCTCTTACTGTCCCAGGGCTGGGTCCTCCCTGTGTCCCATGAGACTGCCCTGGGCCAGGACATCTGTGTGGGTCTCCCAGAGTGACACTGCCTACAGGCCCAGGGCAGGTCTGAGTCACCCACACCCTGGACACCAGCATGGGGGTACTCAGAGGTGATGCACAGGGACATCTGGCATTTCTGTCCCCCATCCCCACCCCAGGGATCCTGCCCCTCATCTGGTACCAGCAGCCTGGTTTTCCTCTGGGGATCTACCCTGCTCACATCATTCTGTGGGGTCTGGTCAGCCAAAGACAAGCACAAGGCCCCAAGCAGTTCACGGGGCTCAGCCTGGGGACCTTTCTCTGTTCTCCTCCCTGGGGTTGCTGGGCCAGCTTTGTCTCCCTTGGGGAGACAAGTGGCTTAAGAATGAAGGTACAGTAGGAAAATCCAACCGAGAAACAGAATGACTGTAAGAGTCCTGAGGCTGTCTACTGACTCCTGGGCACAGCAGTGAGGCCTCCCCTTTTGCTTCAGTCAATCTGAGCTGGGTGTTGGGTCATTAGCCATAAAAATAGATGTGCTTAGCACATCGTGAGAGCTTGAGTGATTACAAATGGTAGGACAAGTGCTGAGTGACCCCAACCCCGACCCCTGCTCTCCCCGTTGCCATCCAGCTGCTGCCCCTCACCTCTCTTGTCCAGCGCCTGAGTCAGATCCTCCACCAGCATGGCAGCCTCCTTGCCACTCTTGGGGCACTGGGCCCCCACCCAGGCCTGGATCTTGGGGGGCAGCACGCCCAAGAACTGCTCCAGCACCAGCAGCTCCAGCATCTGCTCCTTGGAGTGCGCCTCGGGCTGCAGCCACTGGCAGCAGAGCTCATGAAGCTGGGCCAGGGCCTCATGCGGGTTGGACGCGTCCTCATAGCAGAAGTGCCGGAAGCGCAGGCGTGCATCCTCAGGGTGGGCCACGTTGCCAAGGCTATATTCCTGGACCTGGGAGAGGCTGGCCTCCTCCTCCTCCACCTTCACACGCAGGAAGCCATCCTGTTCCCAGGGCACCGGGCTCAGGGGGACCTGGGGGATGGCCATCGGGCAGCAGCCTTGGATCTGGATCTGCAGAAAGATCAGAACTTTGTCATCATGGAACCTGGGTCGCTGCCTCACACCTGCAGAGCAGAGCAGATACTGGCCTGGGACCTGTGAGATGTGATTCACTCTCACAGAGAAACAGATCCTCAGAATAATCAAGAATGAACAGTTCCCAACGCTTGCACAGTGTACAGTGCGACGTCCCATGCACCAAGAGGTCAATGGTTTATAACCTTGTAAACACACAACTCCTTAACCTAGGAGAGTGGTTCTTTCTTTTTCCTGTTTTTTAAATATGTCTTTAAAATTAATTTTAAAGAGAGGAAGGGAGACAGAGAAAGAGAAAAATATTGATTGGTTGCCTTAGGTATGTGCTCTGACTGGGAACTGAATCGAACCCACCACCTTTTTTTTTTTGGTACACAGGACAGGGCTCAACAAACTGAGTCACCCAGAGGGGGCAGAGCGCGGCTCTTTCATTTCTCACTCCTTCCTCACACCTGACCTGGAAACAGCACCTGCCTTGGAGGGTTGTGGCGAGGTTACTCAAGGCGGTCACAAGGCGCGTCCTGCACAGGCTGGGCTCGCAGCAAACATGCAGTCTGAGGACGCCACAGCCGCCTGCCAGGCCTAAGCTCCCGGGGCGCCGGGACATAGCCGCAAACCGCTGGTCACGCAGCTGCGGCTGCAGACAAGCAACGCACACATTCTCTGTCGCAGACTTGAATCACCCTGCGAATCACCCCCACTTCAGTCCCTGTGACCGAAATCTCAGCCAATCGCACGGCTATACGCGCACATCCTCTCCCAGGCAGCCTGTCGGTCGTGCCCGAACAGTCCCAGGCAGCACAGTGTCTGTCTGTCTTCTTCTGCAAACTTACTGGTTTGCACAGAAAGAGCAAGGGGGAGAGAGAGGGAAACATCGATGTGAAAGAGAAATACGGCTCGTACGCCTCCCCTAGCGCCCCATGACGTCGGGGTGCGCCCTGCGCAGGGGTGCAGCCCGCAGCCTCGGGGCGCGCAGGGCACCGCGGCCCCTCACTGCCGACCGGGGAGTCGCAGGCTCCGCCCGCCCTCCGCGGAGACTGCCCCGAAGGCACG